CTCTCTCTCTCTCTCTCTCTCTCTCTCTCTCTCTCTCTCTCTCTCACACACACACACACACACACACACACACACACACACACACACACACAGGAGAATGAGACTAAAGGGTAAGAAAAAAGAAAATAGTGAAGATGCCTCTTGTATTGACCTCACAGGGAGAAACATGAAATAGAAAACGAGTTAAGACTCACCGCAGATAGTTTCCTTGCCACCAGCAATTTCTCCAGCGACCCACGTACCAGCTCTCCATCCACAAGGAAGTCAAAGGGAATGGTTTTTTCTGCAAGCGCGTAGCATGTACAACAAGCGAAAAAAGAAAGGAGCTGAGCAACGGTGTGACTTCCAAACGCTTTCCACGTGTTTAGGAAATAAAAATAAAAATAAAAAACAACAACTGCCCAGACGCAGGGAAGATTTCATACCAGACAAAGGAGAATCAGATCAGGTCACCCCAGAACAGCAGCTTAAACCAGTTGAAACCATAACAGGAAGACCAAGAAACATAAGCCCAGACAACAATAGCCCATCCCAGGCAACAACAGCCCAGCCCAGGCAACAACAGCCCAGCTCAGACAACAATATCCCAGCCCAGGCAACAATAGCCCAGCTCAGACAACAATAGCCCAGCTCAGACAGGAATAGGCCCAGCTCAGACAGGAATAGCTCAGCTCAGACAGGAATAGCCCAGCTCAGACAGGAATAGCCCAGCTCAAACAACTACAGTCCAGAAAAAGATAGCCCATCACAGAGAACAACAGCCCAGACAAAAATAGCCCAGCTCAGACGACAATAGCCCAGCTCAAACAGCAATGCACCAAATAGCAACCAGCCCAGCTTATACAACGACGCCCCAAACAACACTACCCTAGCTCAGACAACAATAGCCCAGCTCAGACAACAATAACCCAGCTCAGACAGGAATAGCCCAGCTCAGACAGGAATAGCCCAGCTCAGACAGGAATAGCCCAGCTCAGACAGGAATAGCCCAGCTCAGACAGGAATAGCCTAGCTCAAACAACAATAGCCCAGCTCAAACAACAATAGCACAGCTCAGACAACAATAGCGAGCTGAAACAGCAATAGCCCAGACAAGAAAAGCAGCCCACACAAATTTATAGCTCAGACAACAATACAAGTTCAGACACGGTTCATAAATCTGTTTGCACTATATTCTATTATAAAACCAGATTTAAGAAACATTGCTTGGATTAGTCAGTGATACTTCTTTTCTTTATGTCATCACATCATGAGGTCAGTTGGCATGAAGACTCGCTTTCCGATGCAGAAGGGCCAATAGACGAGTTGTTGGGCGACTCTCGCTGGACGGACATGTAATAATACTACTATTAGTGCAAGGAATATGAGCGAGAGCGATAGACAGAAATCCAAATTGCAAAATCACGAAGTAGTCCAGATAGTCATGTACCAAGCAGAGAGCACAATGCACCAAGGTACCATCCAAATGAGAGCAACACAGCGAACCCAAATGTCAATGTCGACGCCCTCTCAGGCCACACCAACATAGTACCCAATGTCGCCCCTACTGTGTGGCGCCCAGCGCCTACACTACTCAGCCTATCTATCCTATCTACATTCATGCAACAGGAACACATCAAAGTTGAAGACCAATGTACATGACGTCATCACCAATGCAGACCGCCAGAATACACCAGGTATGCATCTCACTCCTCCCCTCATCACACCGTATCTCCCCCACTGCATGCGCCTCCTACCCGAAGACCACCATCCCCATCACCCGCCACCGCACGCCCGGCTATGGCCACTGTGCGCCCGCTGCCACCGCAGCGCTCCTCTCATCTTTAGCGCCTGTGAGGGCAACCAGCCTGCCTGCTAGCACAGAAGTCGCATGGCAAGCAGGAGCATGGCCGCAATGCCTGCTCAGGCCAGAATGCCGTGCCCCTGGGCGCTCACTTTCCTTTATGGAAAGTGTGTGCCCTGCTGCTGGCTGGTCTGGGCCTGGCGTGTATGGGCCCAGTAGCTTCAGGTTGGCCCGAAGCGTCTGCGCCCAGGCCCAGTTTTTCAGATACTGGCCTGGGCCCCTTGCAGTTAGGCACATCCAGGTCGCCCACGAAGCTCCAAGTGTTCGACGCAATCTCATTGGCTCGTGGCATGTGTGTGACGCTCGAGCTGCTTTCTCATTGGTCCATGGCTGCTATGTGACTTGTCAACCTCTGCCCAGGGCCTCAACCGAATAAGCCCTCGGCTCAACTGTAAGACGCAGCAGCTGCTGCTTCTGGATCGAGCCAGCGAAGGCTCATGTTGCTTTGTAACCAACTGGTGTGCTGCAACTGTCTGATACCCCACATATACGAAAAATGGCAAAAAAATAGGCCTCACGAAACTATGCAGGCCCTCCTTCACTTAGGGCGGGCACGAGGCTTGCTGGGGGCCGAGCCCAGAACGTCTGTGTGCCCGAGAAGGGCCTTGCGAGGGCTCAATCCTCGCATTAGTATTTTTTTCTAATTAAAAAAATATTGAAGTTCGACTTGTTGCATGTATGTTATCTAATATTCATATTTATTTTATTCTATTTGAGTATTTATAGATTTAAAAGATTTAGTTAACTAATTAACAATAAAGAAAATATATTGATATTTGACTTTAAACTATTTATCTTATTTAATATTCATATTTATTTTATTCTATTTGAGTCTGAGCATTTATCTATAGATTTATACACTTACGGGATTTTAATTAACTAATTAGCTTTTATTTGTTAATTGATTGAATTAGAATAAAAGCTGGGCTACCAGCTACCACAGTCAAGAGTATCAAACAGAAAACCCCAAGAAGAAGCATCAAACATTTCTGACAAAATGCAGGCCGCCTGGGTCACCCAGTTTTCCCGGGCAGCCCGGCCGTGCAATGACCAGGGACGGTCCCAGCAAAAAAAAAAAAAAAAAAAAACGAGAAAAATCTGTGATGCAGAAAAATAAACTGAACAACTTTTGCCTCAGGGTCACATCGAAATTCTTTACCAAATTAAAAAAAAAAAAAAAAAAAAACTTTATTAGAACACAAAAAA